CCAGCATTCAACACGAGTACAAATCTAGTATGGGGAAAACAGTTAAGAAAGAGGTAAACAAAAAAATGATTTGTAAATGTAATTAAAATATATGCCAAAAAAAAACATGAAACAAAAAAACAAGTAACGCCCACGGTTTTGTCCCCTCTATAAATTAAATACATTGAGACATTGAGTCTTTCACTTCAATTCCTTCAACAAACACACATCAAACTGTGAATCAAAAGATTTCTTTCACTTTCCAAAACACCTTCCAAATAATTTCACTTATAGGTTCCTTTTCAACCATCTCGTAGAGGGCAATTTATTTAAGGAAACAAAAGTTAGCTCGTTACTCCAATGGATGTTTTTATATCGGAAGAGTATGTCAACCGCCGGAGAATGGAGAAGAAAGCTGCCGCCGTTGCCGGAAAAAGTATGAGGTTAGGCTCTGGTTCAAGCAAGATCAGATCGGAAAAGATAAATAGTAATCCTTTGATGTCGGAATCTCGTCCGGAGAATGAGTTTCGAGTCACCGGCGGTGGTGTTTACGAGAGTTTTGTGTTTCAATGCTTCTCGCCGTAAAAAACCAAAACGCTCGCATTTAGATCAAGAACGCAGACGCGATCGCATATGCATAGACTAGTTATAATTAGTTATAGCTCTTGTATGGATCTCTTGGTTCTTGATCTTAACGGTGTATTGTAAGCAAACCACACTGTAATTCTTAAAACTTAACAAAGAAAATATACAGATGTGAATTAGAATGAAAAAAAACTATGAAACGAATGAAATGTTACAATAATGAATGAACTTAGGAATAATACTGTTTCTTTTTTTATTTACAACCTTGAGCTTGTTAAGTGTATTTTTTTTTATCTGGTACATCAAACGCAATAAAACTTTTAAAAAACATAAACGTTAAAAAGGTGAAAATTTCCCACCGAAACTCAACGTGAGGTCATGATGACCATTTGCACTTGAAACACCGCGTTTTACTGATTTTGGCTCGATTAATCAGAAAAACCAGTTCGGCTTTTAAGTTAGATTATCCCAGAACGGCTAATTAAGGTTAATAACAAACTAACTAACTTTTTGTGCTGCGTTTAGATATAAAATTACAAAATTACAAAATTTGGTGGGTTGAGCTAGGCCTATGCAATAGTGCAACGCAAAGACAACTCGTAAAAACCCAAATAGCAAGCTATTTCAATGGGCCTTCTCCCTCAAAAAATATACAGTCGTATCAAGTGGAACCGATGGACCACATATCAGATACTAAATCGATAAGAACAGATACTACATTTGATCTAAGCCATAGGCCGAGAAAAAAAGTATGAATTGAATGTAATGTCAAAGACTAGTTTTATATGCGTCGTGTTAGAGAGTCAAATCATGAACTACCGATGGGACTTTATTAACAAAGTCGATTCAAGTAATCGAATATGTAGAACTTTGGCCCAATTTATATATCGACACTTAAAAGCCCATTACTAGTTTTCGACGCCTAATCCCAAATGGTGTAATCGTGTGTTTTCTAACAAAGTTTGAAACAAAGGTG